TTCTTGCTAACTATGCTAAGGGAAGAATGGATTGTGCAAAACAAGTCCAAAAAAAAAAACCCACAAGGGCCTCCTGACCCATTTGTATCTTGTTTCTGCCAAGTTCTCATTACAGATCTTAAATAAAAAAGAAAACAATGTATAAGGATGGAATAGCCAAGGAGATTATTGTCAAAATCCTGGATGGCAGAGGATTGTATGCCTGAGGAGGCTGCATCAGGGGGAGATGAGAGTATAAGTGTGCATGTGTTTACTTGTGTGTGTACATCCATGCATTATTTACCTTTGCAATTAAGGCATTGATTGTTTTAGTTCACTTCAGTGTTAATGTACTTATTTACCCCCCAAAATTTTTCTTTTGGTTGAAAGAAAAAGAAGGAAACTGAGAAAGTGAATAAAACACCCCAAACTGGGCCAGATACAGCAGTTTAAAGGATTTACGGACAAATAACTTAACTAATGTCTTTGAATGCCAAAACCCTGAGGGTAAGGAGAGTAGACATAGACCAAGGTGGCAAAAGTAGTGATCTTAGCCAATGAATTACACTTTTTTTTTTATGTTCTGTTCAGGTGCCTATGGTTGGAAATGTGGGTAAGCACTGCCATATATATCAGCATAAGTCCTGGGGCAAGAGAAATGAAGTTGAGCCAACAGGAAGCAGGAAAGGAAGAAGAGGAGGAGGAGGAGGAGGAGAAGGAGGAGGAGGAAGAGATTTGCCAAAGTCTACTTCTCCTTTCTGTTAGTATTTGCCTAGGTTTTACTGCTCAGCTTCAATTTCAGCAGAATCATTAGTCCTTCATTTTTAAATTATAGACTATAGATCAAAGATCACATAATGTTAGGGCTGGAGGGGCTCCAGGATCATATAGGAATACCTCTGACACTTTACACATAAGGAAAAGGAGTCTCAGGGAGAATCCCACAACAGCTAAACATTACAGTTAGAACATGTTAAAAATCATCAGAGCAAATGATTTACTCAAGACTGTACATCCAGTGTAGCACAGGAAAAAACCAAAGTGTGCACTGATTCAAGACACTTCTAATAGATCCCTACTATGACTTTAAGCCCCCAGAGGCTGAAGGGACCCCAAGTGTCCCTTCCCCCACAAAATCAAAAATTAGGGCTTTAGCATTGCAGTCCTCTCTGTACTAGGAAGTCTTGATTATCTATTAACAGTGATTGTTATCAGAGACTTAGAGGAAACATCAAATAATGGCATGTTCAAAAAATAATAACGCATGTACATAAAGTATTGCTTTGAGGTCAATTTTATTTATAAGGCAAGAGATAGCCTATATATTAATCAGGTAGAAGAGTGAAGAGAGCACAGTGTCTGGAGTCAAGAAAACCTGAGTTCAAATTTGGCCTCATACACTTAGTAGCTCTGTATTGTTAGGTTAGGTATAGGTTAAATAGGAAAGTGGACAAGGCAATAGACCAACAGAAAGAGTGAAGGAGACAGTCTCCACTCAGATTCTGTTTTCTAATGATTAACATGGCCAACAAGTCTTTACATTATAGGGGGACTAGTCTACAAAAACTGACAATGATTAAGAGGGTGCCCTTTCTGTTTTGAAACTTTCCAGCTATGTCATTGGTTTATATTCTGTCAACTGGATATTGGTTTCGTCAATAGGATACATGTTGTTCTTATTAGAAAATCACTCAAGATCTTAAATCTTACTCAGGAAGTTTTCAATCATTTATATTGCTGGACAGCTCCATTTAAAGGTACAGAAATACTTTAACAGGTAAATGCAAATTGGAGGTGAAGGACAACTTACTATTGCTTGACCTGTGAAAATAGCATTCCCAGATGACTTTTTTCTACTTGGGGATTTCTCCTAAATATTTAGAATAATGGCCTCAGAAATGATTCATGTAGTCAGTGAGATCTCTCAATGGAACAGAAATGAAAGTATGGAGGAGAAGGTGGGGCGGGGTAGGTATTTGAGAGCTATAAGCCTCAAGTCTACTTGCGTCCAAAACTGGTGATTTATTGGTCTCAGTAGGTAACATACTTACATGTTTATTTTAACAGCAAACACGTGCTTTTTGTAACAGCTAGGTAATTCAGTGGTTAGAATGCTGGACTTGGAGTCAGGAAGACCTAAGTTCAAATCTGACCTCATACACATTCCAGTTGTGAAGCTTTAGACAAGTCACTGTCTTTGTCTGCCTCAGTTTTCTCAACTGTAAAATAAAGACAGATAATAATAGCACTAACCTCCCCCCTCCCCGGGTTGTTGTGAGGACAAAATGAGATAAAATTTGTAATGTGTTTTGAAAACCTTAAAGCACTACATAAATGCTAGATGCTATTTTAAATAGGTGAGACCACTTCTTGTTCTTATTAATTTTTTGCAAGAGTTATGAGAAATAATTAGACTATGCATTTGAAGATGCTGGAAAGAAACTCATGTTGTATGCAGTTCTTTAGGTATATGTGGGTACTTCTCTGAGTAAGATAGGTAAATAAATGAGCATTATAATGGAAGGAGTAGAGACAGGGCACCTTACTTCTATTACTTATTCCCTGGGTGACATTTGGCAAGTCACTAAATCTCTTCAGTTTCCTAATCTACAAAATGAGGACCATTGGACTACAGACTAAAAGATTAAAGGGACCTTAGAGATAATGGTAACAATACCTAGCATTTATATAGAGCCTTATGGTTTGAAAAGTGCTTTATCAATATAATCTCATTTGATCCTCACAACAATCCTGGGAGGTCAGTGCAATTATTATTTCCATTTTATAAATGAAGAAACTGTGCCATTCAAGGCTTAAGTAACTTGCCTAAGGTCACATGGTTAGTAAGTGTCTGAGGTGTGATTTCAGCTTAGGTTTTCCTGAAACCATGACTACCACTCCATCCATTGCACAATTTAGCTGCCAATCCAACCAACTCTCTCATTTTACAGGAGACTAAGGCCTAGAGGGCTAAAGTGACTTGCGTAAGGTCACATAGGTAATAAATAATATAGCTAGAATTTGAACCCAGTACATCTGACTCCAAATCCAGCATTCTTTCCACCATTCTCTCACAGGATTGTGGAGATCTAATGTATGGAAGACTCTTTGTAAGTTGTAAAGTGTTATATAAAAGCAAATCATCATCATCATAGTTACTACTATTATGACCTATGGGTCTTTGAGCATAAATGATGCATGTATCTTCCATGTTTCCCAGTCATATGAGGCATTAAAAGGAATTGAGATTTCAAGTCTAAAAAAGTGAAAATATAGGGGAACATGATAGGATTATTCAAATAGAGCTTATGTAGGGGGGAATAGATTTATTTTGTGTATTTTCAGTCAGCCAATTAGTCAAGGAACACCTACTATGTGTGAGACACTGTGCTAATTGTGGGGAATACAAAGAAAGCCCCCAGGTAGTCCCCATTCTCAAGGAATTCAAGTCTAATGGAGGACTCAGCATGCAAGTATCGATGTTTCTGCATATAATATATATATAATATATATATATGTATGTATGCTTGTATGTACATATACGTATGTGTGTAAATATATATGTATATACGTGTATATATACACACCCATATACATACATACATACATACATACATACATACATACATGCATGCATACATATATATATATATGCATGTATCTAGTCTCAAAGGGAAAGGACTAAAATTAAGGATGACTGGGGAAGGTTTCTTTCAGGAATTTCAATTGAGATTTGAAGGAAGCCAGGAGAGAGGGATGAGGAATGAGAAATTTCCAGGTGTAGGATCAGTTATTGTTATTATTATTGTCACTGAATTAGATGACCACCGAGATCCTTTCCAACTGAATTTTCTTGTAGAGCTTCCTCAGGGGCTACTATCCCAGCTAGCAATTGCAATGACAAGCTGGGTCCCAAGAAAGTGGCTACTACTACTCTTAGGGGGAATACTAGGTAACCATGAGGGGCTTGGTTTCTAGTACTGTCACTCATGACCCCTCACCAGCATACTTCCCATTTATTATCAGTAGGCTTGATTAGTGTCTATCAATGGATATTTACTAGGCAGGTATAGTAAGGACAATGGGTACAAAACATCCCCCACAAACTGGGAGCACATATTCTCCTTGCACCCACAAGGTCTCTGGGCAAAGTGGATGCAAACTCATGATAAAATGGTAGTGTGGAACACACGTGGAAAATACCTGTGAAAAGGGGATACTTCTCAGCTCTTGCATAATGGAAGTACTTTTCTCCCTATGTAGAATTTTTGTGAGGGTCCCTTTAGGCATATGTTGTGCTAGACTCAGAAAGTCAGTGCCTTTCTAGGATCTATAGGCAGAACTTCTCTCTGTCATGAAGGATCACAATTCCTGAAGCTGCTACAATCTTTGGATGATTGTCTTTCCATGTTCATTTATAGGTGTTTCCTATGCCATCAGCAGTCTGGTAACCTCTAATGTAATCACTTGTGGGACTTCTAATAAGCCCTCAGGATCTGCCAAAATTTCAGTCACCTGGGGAAAGAAGTAAAAAGAGAAACTTTCTCTTCCTCTTTCAACCCAGGCAATTCCTTCCCAGGGGCTTGGCTAGAGCAACCTCCTCTTACTAGATTGATCTGCTGCTGGATTTTATGATTCTTAGCTGGCTTCCTGTTTTATACAGAGGCTCAGAGATGTGTCTGATTGTTTCAACCAATCACAAGATTCTTCATGTGCAGCCTCACTTAAAAAAATCTATTCTTTAACTTTATTCCTCTCAAATTTAAAACTTATTCCCACCTAGCCTACACCTTTAATTGATTGATTGATTCAATCAAGTTGTCTGGAGATGTTCTATGATTACATTAATTGGATTGGGAATTGACAGCCTCAACCCTCTACAATGATTCTGTGATGTAGTCTGAATATATCTGCATGCTTGTTACATTATCAACATTAGAATAGAAAGAACACGGAATTCAGAATCAGCAGTCCAGAGTTCCAGTGGATAGAAAGCTGGGCCTGGAGTCAGGAAGATTGAGTTGAAATCTAGCCTCAGCTGACCCTGAGCAAGTAAGTTGTCTAACCTCTGTCTGCCTCAGTTTCCTTATCTGAAAAATAGGATAATAATAGCATCTACCTTATAGGGTCATTGCAGAGATCAAATGAGATAATATTTGTAAAGCACTTAGCACATTGCCTGGCACATATAGGTGTTAGCTATTATTATTTATTGTTATCATTATTATTATTATTATTATTATTATTATTAATTATCCTGACTTGCTAGATGGGCAATTCACTTGACCTCGCTGAATATTAGTCACTTCACATGTAAAATGAGGATAGTGTATGTACTTCCTACCTCATGGGATTATTGTGAAGAAAGCATTTTTTAAACTATTCTTCCCATTTCTGCTTCTTAGCTTTCTGGATTTCCTGCAAACTCAGAGAAGGCCTTTCCTGGTCCTTCTTACTTCTGGCCCCTCCCCTCTAAAATGATTTTTCATTTATGCCATATTTTCCCGTATGGACATAGTTATTTCATATTATCTCCTCCATTCAAATCTCGTCTCAGATACTTAACAAGCTATGGGCTCTGGAAAAGTCACTTAACTTCTGTTTTCCTCAGTTTCCTCAACTGTGAAATAACAATATAAATAGTACCAACCTGACAAAAAGTTGTTGTGAGGATCAAATGGGATATTTGTTTTTTTTTTCCATTTTGTTTTTAGGCAATTGGGGTTAAGTGACTTGCTCGGGGTCACACAGCTAGTAAGTGTCAATGTTTGGTCTGAGGCTGTTTGGCACATAGTAGGCCCTATCTAAATATTTATTCCTACTCTTCTTCCATTAAAATGTGAGCCATACAAAAGCTAGGACTGTGTTTTTGCTTTTTTTTTTTTTTTTGGCATCCTCCATTTTCTAGCATAACCCTGTTCACATAGTCATCACTTAATAGAAACTTAGTGACTAGTAAAGTTTCAGATAAATAGGATGGACAGTCTCTTGAAGGCTATGACACTAGCTCCAGCTTGATCAGACTAACTTGCTGGGTTCAGTTTGGTAGATCTCCTCTGCATCTGTCACCTGAAGACCAGCCTAAGCTAAGTCCCAAAAGGTTCCTTACCAGGCTGTCTATTATTCATGCAGTGGAAACCAAAAATATAGCAGTTTTGAAGTCTGCCTCAGTGGACAAGACGCAATGTCCACGACAGTGAAATAATGTGTCAATTAAGAACTAAAGTAGTATAGACTGTTATTAAGGCTTAAGCTATTTTTAGACAAGAGCTGGGTATCGTTTTATTTTTGGTTATTTGTTTTTATTTCTGTCTCAGCACTTCCCTCAATGCCTTATCTATAGTATAGCAGGTGCTTTATAAACTGTGAGGAATTGAATTATCAAGCAGCTAGAAGCAATGGAACAGGGGAGAAAGGTATGTTGATAAAACATAGATTTTTCAGGCTAGCACATTTTTCCTTCTTATATTTTCCTGTCACAACTTTCCTTCTTGTAGTAAGTTGGGATGTGATGATGCTATAAAGGCAGAGTCAGAAATAGATATACTATTACCGGGAGAGAAAATGGAAAGCAAATAAATATAACCAAAGAATAAATAAATGGAGAGAAAAACAGAAATCGAGTGTCACTCACTTCAGAGAATGAGAATTTACAGGGTGAGAATTTGGCCCACACAAGAGACTCGGCCCAGAATGGAAGCAAACACCCATCTGCAAATCACACCAGGAGACTTGGTACTTCTTGGTGGGCACGTTTTATATGCATAATCTCTCATGAATGCTGTTCAGCTAGATGGGGTGTTACAATTTCCATGGTTGGGCTTTAATGCTTCATTTTTTTCTTTAAAGAAAAAAAAACAATGCTTTTTGATTTCGAAATGAAAACCTAGTTCTAATTAACAGTTGGAGTCAGATTTTCAGAGATTCCAGCTGGAACAGTAAAGCAGAACTCTGAATGGGACTCTGGGCATGTCTAAAGATATGTCCGAGTTTTCTGCTTGCTGTAAAAGCTGCCTAAAGCTGGTGGCACAAAGTGCAAACACATCTCCAGGGTATCAGGCCCTTGGTTGGCAGCAGTCTAGGGAGGTAGTGCCAGCTTGTGCCAATTTTCAATCCTTATGTTGGAGCTGAACCCAGAATTAGATGGTTGGAAGCCATTCCATCCCATCCATTGCCAACATAGATGCCCTTCTTATATGTCTAACCAACATACTATCATAATATTATACATGTTTATAATTCTTTTTCAATCCACAGGTCCCAGAGAATTTTCCAAGCAATAAAACAAAACAAAACAAAACAAAATAAATATAAAATTCAAGTCTCAAACGATCCACCCACTGAGAAGCTGGGAAAGGATCATTATGCCCAGTTTATAGATACCTAAAGTGAGGTACAGATAATGGTAACAGGTGATATTTAGAGAAGTTTTCAAAATTCTTTACGTCTCTTGTCTCATTTGTTCCTCACAGTAACTCCTTGAGGTAAGTGCTATAGGTATTATTAGCCTCATTTTAAAGATGAATGAACTGAAGCCAAGAGAAATGACTTGCCCAGGATCACACAGCTAGTTAAGTGTCTGAAGTTTGAGATTAGAGACCAGGTCTTTCTGACTCTAACTCCAGCACTGTGTTTACCCCATCAGGCTGCTTTTCAACAGAGAAGTCCAGTTATTGCTGTCTATTAAGTAACCAACAAAAACTAAATAAATATGAAGCAACAGCAAGATCAGTAACTTCCATAACTACGCAAGTGATAAAGTTAGATAGAAACATTTGGTTCTCTGTATTCAGATGTTGATAAGAGACACAACACATACAAACGCTTATCCTCAGGTGAAAAAATTTTTTGAAAGACCAATAACAATCCACCTAGTCAGACTTCTAAGCACAGTTGGGGATGTGGTAATACTATAAAATCTAGGAGTTTGGTCCAGTGAGACACTTTATGGTCTTTTAATTACCTTATCTACAAAGGACTTTGCAAATACAGGAAGATTACTATGATTGATGATGTTGGTGATGGATATATTACTATGGAGGGGGCAGAAATGGAACATCATCTGTAGAAGTCAGAAAGAGAAGAAAGGAAAGGAGAGGAGAGGAGAGGAAAGGAGAGGAGAGAGAAGCAAAGGGAAGGGAAGGGAAAGAAGAGAAAAGAAAAGAATAGGTTAAAAATTTGAACCTTTAGAAGGCAAGAAATCAGGGAGAGAAAAGAGTGAAGATTCCAAAGTCAGAGAAGGGAGTATAGGCCTGATAAGCATAGGGACAACTTCTCTAATAGCTAGTCCCTATTCTAAGAGAAATCCATTCTATTTACTTCAGAAAACTTACATTCTTGATAATTTAAGAGCCACTGGTCACAGAGATTCCTTTGAAGTGGCACTTATTAACATTCAGCCTCTTAAGGAAAAAAATCTTTTAGTCCTCTTATGAAGCTACCAACTTGCTGCTACAGGAAATGCAACTTTTTAATTTGAGGTCACTGAAGCCCCTCAGGTAGTTTTGTTTCTATTTTATCTTTCAGGTCCAGATCCCAAGAAGTATTATAAAATTCTTGTTGTTTTAACACCACTCTCCTCTCAGTAGTACAATGCATCATCCCATAATCCCATAAACAAACCTTTAGAATGGACATAGGCAATTTTATATGTTTAAACTCCAAACTCCCTCACTCACTCATAAAAGATGCCTCAAACCAAAGTCTGTTAGACAACTATACAACCCTTCCTCTTCAGTCAGGTCAAGCTTCTATCTCTCTTTCTGCTCATGGATCTTATCTCCAGATGTTTGTACTGGTCATTCTGCATCCCTAAAATGACCTGAACCTTCTCATACACTGAGTTGGTGCCTCTCATACAGTTGTAGCTACTCTGCTTTAACTCACACACACTAAGGAACTAGAAAATAAAGTGAGATGAAAAGTCCATCTCTTTCACCTTCATCTTGTTTGACACTATTTTTACTGCTCCTCAGCCACAGTACTCCAGACCTTGTCTCTGTTTTCTCCTTGGCTATTCTTCATGGCTATAATGTTCTCCCTTCTCACCTATGCCTCTGGTATATTTCACAACTCAGCTGAAAGTCTGCTTTGAGTAGGGGTCCTTTTCTAGTACCCTCATTAACTTGTCTTCCCTTTTAAGGATGTGTTCCTTCTATTCTTCATGTACTTATTTTTTTACATACTGTCTTCTCCATTGGTATGCAAGCTCTTTGAGGACAGGGACTATTTTTGTATCTATGCCTTTCTTTGTATCCACAGCACTTACCAAAATATCTAGCACACAATAAGCACTTAAATGATTGTTGATCGAGTGATGGATCTAAGGGTGTGGAACCACTGGCCTCGAGGCCACATATGGCCCTCTAGGTCCTGAAGTTTGGCCCTTTGACTGAATTCAAACTTCATAGAATAATCCTCTTAATAAAAGGATTTGTTCTGAAAAACTTGGATTCAGTCAAAAGGCTGCACCCAGGACCTAGAAGGCCACATGTGGCCTTGAGGCCAAAGGTTCCTCACCTCTGATCTAGGCTTTATCTGCCATTGAGACACTATATAAAGCAAAGGCAACATCTATTAGATACTGAGAAGACCATGGTGAAGGCAGAACCAATAGTGTCATCATCAGGAATATAAATAAAACTTAAGATGGAAAAGGGGAACAGGGAAGACCACAAGAAACCCAGAAAAATTATTCATGACATTTTGACCAGAAGGATGGAGTTGATAATTGAAGCATTGCTGGTAACTACTGCTAAATTCACTATATATATACATATATATATGTATATATATATATATACATGTATATATATATATCATATATATATACACATATATATGTATATATATATACATGTATATATATACATATATATATACATATATATGTATGTATGTATGTATACACACACACACACGTGTGTGTGTGTGTTTATATACCTTTGTCTAGGTGAATGTATCCATGTTATGAAATCACAAAGCACATGCACATCCTTTTCAGCACTAATCTTGGCTCCCAAACCCTTGGGGAGTATGGCACTCTAGACAGAGCACGGGATGTGGAGTTGGCGAATATGGGTCCAAAATCAGTGTTTGTTGCTTCCATGATCCTAGGCAAGTCATTTAAGATCTTTAAATATCTGATTCTTCATTTGTCCAAAGAGGGAACTGGAATAGATTGCCTTTAAAGTCTCTTCTAGCACTAAATCTATGTATGACCCTACATTAAAGTCCAAGTGTGGTGATTCCACTATTTTTCACCTCATTATAAATATCAGGTAAGACATAAAAGTGAGAATTATACTCACCAAAGTGTATTTAGCACTGTGATGAGGAGACCAAGCTCAGTTTGGAGAGGGCTTTTCCATGGATAATGAGGTCCTTCCCATGTTCCTATCTGATGATGACATTGTGTTGGTCACATCAAGGCCTGGAGCAGGTCTGTAACCACTCAAAAGAATATGGCTTTGCCCTCACACAAGAAAGACAAAGTATATGAAGATTGTCTATTGCCCATTTGGATGCAAAGTCTAGAAAGCCTGCCCATCAGTAAGTATACCTGGGATAAAGAACACAGACAGATAACAAGTTTATCTGGTACTTGAATGAAGGAGAAGGGGCTAGATTGCCTCTAAGAAATAAAAAAAAAAGTCCTTTAATGACCTCAAGCTTCAAGTGGAAATAAAGGCCTGTCTTTTAATACCAACATTCTACTTGTGTAATTGTATGACTGTCAGAGACAATAAGGTAGTCTCTGAAGAATTAAAAATGAAAATCCTTGGGGCAGCTAGGTGGTGCAGTGGATAGAGCACTGGCCCTGGATTCAGGAGGACCTGAGTTCAAATGTGGCCTCAGACACATAACACTTACTAGCTGTGTGACCCTGGGCAAGTCACTTGGCAAGCTTAGCCAAAAAAACAGAAACAAAACAAAACAAGAAGAAACAAAAAACACAAAAAACCCAACCAAATAAACAAAAACAAAAATTGGAGAAAGGATTGGAGAAGCACATGTGGGTGAGGACAGGCTACTACATATAACCAATGTGGGGCTTTGTAAAATAAGAATGAAAGATGTCATTAAGGAATTATATAATAAGAAGAAAAGATGGGTTGGTGGCATGGTAAGGGAGAGGGATAACAGATGGACAAGCAGAGTTTTCCACTGGTATTTTTATGTCAGGAGAAAGAAAGCAAGACCCTTAGCACATTAAGTGTCCCCCTTGTGATGAACTTAAGGGAAAATATAAACAAGAATCACACAGGATGGAAAAGTAGGGATTGCTGGCAATCTATCTTACTGGAGGAAACTTCCACATCAGTGGGTTCCATTTGAATATTGAAGCAATGCAGGATTTGAACAATATCCTTTCTTTTCCAATTGTTATTTGTGCAGATTAATCCTCTCCCATCCATTCCAAGATGTGGTTACTTCTGAACTTATTTTTACTCAACTTAACCCTGTTTCCAATAACTTCTTTACTTTTCCAAGATTATTCTCTTCCTTTGCTTCCAGTTGTCAGGTTCCTAAGCCTCCTTAAGTATGGCCTTATAGGAAGGAATCATCATCAAAGCAGTTTTCCTTATACATAAGCCATCCTAGATATGCTATTTACCTGAACCTTAGGGAAGCTCAACAACACAAACATATAAATGTGTGAGTGTGTATGTGTGTGTATATGCATATCTGGGGGGATTTGTATACATAGTTACATATGGTTTTATGTATAGATGTAATACGTACACACATATACATACATAAACACACATATATATGTATATGTATATATGTTGTTCTTAGTCCACAGGGACACACATAACAGAAAGAGCATTTTGTTTTGTCCTGGTCACTCATTAGAGACCCTAGAAGGCCACTATGATACTCATAAGAGAAAGAACTTCAAGAACCTTTAAATGCCTATAGTCATGCTTCTGTGCTGCATCAAAGTACTACCTGGCTCTTCCTCTCTCTTTGTCTTCATACTATATTATTATAGATGTAGGGGATGCCTGAAACAAACACCATCTATTGTTGCATCATATCCCTCTTTTCAAATATGTTGGCTTAATATAGCATCTGCATGTCCCCATAGTCTTCTGAAACAAATGCCCCCATCTGTTCTCATCATGCTTTCAAGGTCCCACTGAATTGCCTTTCCTGTTATGCTAACACCAATGTCTCACAACTTGGTTCTATGTGCAAATGTAATACTTCTCCATTCTTTTATCAAACCTTTCATGTGATGACTTAAACTCTTTCTCTCTCTCTCTCTCTCTCTCTCTCTCTCTCTCTCTCTCTCTCTCTCTCTCTCCCCCTCCCTCCATATATATATAATATATATACTATATATGTATATCTCTATCTATATACATGTGCACACATATATACACACATATATGTGTGTA